TGATCCCTCAGCGACAACTTGAGGAGATCGGGTGGTGCATATATATCCTTCAGTTACTGGCATGTTGTGATTTGGTATCACCCTCTTGATTGTAACAAACATTCCAAGCATTACTGGCACTGTTGATCCATTTATTAACTTGAGCCAACCATTAGTCATGAACTGATCGATCATGGAATTGGCACTTCCTTCTTGTGGTGAATCTGATGTGTTTTCTTGATTTTGTTTCTTTTGGTAGTAGCATCCATGGTGCCAGTCATTCCAGCTGCTTTATGTTGAGATTTCTGCTGTTGCTTGCTGGTAATGGACTTTGCACACCTTTGCAATGTGTCCCATTTTATAACAAGTATTGCATCTCTTTTCCCTTCTGTCTATTAACCTTCTGTCACCTTTGGTAGCCTCTTGCTTCTGGTCAGCCATCACTGATTTCGAATTTAACTGGATATTTTCTAACTTGCCAGTTATACTCCCTCCATGGACTTCCATATACTGTTCTGTCAGCTTGATCATCTTGTCCGCATCTCTCCTTGAGGAACAGTGATATGTCAGTTGAATATGCGATCATGAACTGTTCTCATATTAGTATGTCCGCCAGTTCCTCAAAACTATTTTCACACTTGGCCATGTCAGTCCATCTAGTGAAGTAACACCACAGACATGCCACAAACTGAAATAGAGTTTCTCTAGTGTCAGGTTTGACTTCTCTGAACTTCGAGGGAAAACCTTCTTCAGTAAGTTCATATCGTTTCACCAAAGCCACTTTTAACTTCTCATAGTCCATGGCATCTTCTAATGTCACATCTGCATATACTTGTAGCCCTTTGCCCGTCAGAAGTGGGCTGAGACAGACTGCCCAGTCGCATTTGTCCCAATTCTGACTTTGGATGAATCTTTTGGGCAAAGCTTTCATATCTCTCCAGGAAAGCATCCATGCTGTCTTTCTGTTCATCAAATTTGGGCAGTTTGGCTCAGCTGGCCCTGATCACATCGTCATTCTTGAGTCCTTCCTTTCTCTGTTGAGTGAGCAGGGCAATCTCAATTTGTGCTATTATTCTCTCTATTTCCAGTCTCTTCTCTTTCTTTCTCCAGCATGGTAGATCTTGGTCTTCCCATCCACTTTCACATTATAGTCCATTCTGTTGAGCAATGTCATGATCACAACTTTGATTTTAGCCCATTTTAGGTTTGTACTCATGAAAATGATATGTTTTCAACGAAAGCAATCGAAAAACACATCAATCAGTAATGGACAGACCTTTCAGGAACACACTATACAAACAGCTCAAGGAGCTACCAATTCACATAATTAAAACATTTTATCTAACTGCAATATTAAGTTTTATGAAGTACTGTACAATACATTAAAGTAAAGAAACACTTACCATGATGACAAAAGACTTTGGTTTTGATTTAAAGCTATGATACTCCAACCCACTAAAATAAGCTCTACCAATGACACTGTACAATATGCCGTGGCACTTTGATAATTGACTGTATTTACTCATTATTATTGAGTTTCAGTGCAATTACTCACATTTTAGTACCATCATTTACATACTCACTATTAAAATAAAATAAAAAAATATTTAGTGTGATAAAACAAATTTTACAGATTGTATATGTAATTTAAAATCTTAAAATAAAGCACAATAACATAACTACTACATAGAGCTCCCAATTCACAAGGATTGTTTTTATGATTCTCATCACAGCATTCATTTTAGCCCATTTTACGTTTGTACTCATATGAAAAAGATATGTTTTTAATGAAAGCTCTTGAAAAACACATCAATCAGTAATGGACAGAGTAGCTTCCATATAAAAAAGATGTAACATTAATGCTAAAAGAAAAAAGACTTCTTAATTGTAGTACCTGGATTTTCTGCCTCTAAATCAAATAAACCAGATTATGTTGCAAAACTATTTTGGTATGAAACAGTTTTACAGCAACAGTTTTCACATAATTAAAATATTTTATCTAACTGCAAACAATGTTATAACAAACTAACATGTTAATGATGCTTTAAATACAGAACAAGTAACTTTCATTACTAAAATTACTGCAAAAAAACAATCTTCTGAAATCTTTAAGGATCAAAATACCTATTAACTTCCAAATTAATTGGAAATGTGTTATATCAAATTGATAAATTTCACTACCAAAGCCATCTTCTGGATGAAGCACTGAAAACCAAGCATTGCTGATAGAAATGATTTACAATCTAGCTCACCAAATATAGCAATGACTATCTTGTAAACAATTCCTTGCAAAAAGTTAAGATGTTAAATTGATTTCCTAGCTTTAGCTCTTCATGATACCACTTGACTGGATTATCGTGCATCATATAAATTTAATGAACTAACTTACTGATTTTTTTCAGTCACAAGCCATGATGGTAAAAGACTTTGGTTTTGATTTGAAGTTATGATACTCCAGCCCACTTAAAATAAGCTCTACCAATGACACTGTACAAGATGCTGTGGCACTTTGATACTTTTTAGGAAAAGGTAACATAACATATTGTTGCGTTAGCAAGGTCACGTGACTAGTATCATGCCACCTCCTTCTAGAAATATCCTGTTCCTTCATGAATGCTCTAGCGTTTACTAGATATGTGTTAGTCTTGTATATATAAGACGGTCACAAAGTGACGGCAACAATATGTGTAATTGAACTGAGTATTGTCGAGCACGTGAGACGTTCGTTGAGAATTATAGCATTTGTTATAGAGCAACTGTTGAAATTAAGTGTATCAGTAAAGTTGTATTCGGAAATAATAAACCAGTTTTATTTAAGAAAGGACTTGTGTCGCTAAAGTTTCGTCGGAACAAAGTTACGGAAAATTAATTAACAAACGAACGGAGACATAACAATATATACATAGTATTATATAGAATGTTGATCGTACTTGATGGAAAATTTCATTTGGTTGATCCAACATGGTAACTAGGTCATTGACACTGCAGCCACATTCACTATGCATCATTAACTGTATTACTAAAATTACTTAGCTGAAACACCTAATAAAAATTTATCTTCCACTGTGTCAAAAAATGTTAGTTTTGATTTCTACTCTTAATATACAGTAGCAAGATATGCAACTGCTTGGAGCATCAAACAGCTCAAGGGGCTACCAACTCAGAAGGATTGGTTTTATGATTTTCATCACAGTTTTTATTTTAGCCCATTTTAGGTTTGTACTCGTATGAAAAAGATGTGTTTTCAATGAAGGCAACTGAAAAACATATCAATCAGCAATGGACAAACCTTTTAAAATTAGAGCAGTAAGACACTTAATTCTCAGTCAGGAACACATGGTGATTGGTTGCTAATTTAAGTTACACCACAGTGTGCATGATGTGAGAAAGATACTGGCATAGTGGCATTAGTGTGCAAGTATAAATAATTTTTTAACAAGTGAATTAGTATGTGCTATGTTGGTATATTTTCTGATTTGTGGGAATAATGCAATTAGAATGTTGGGAGGGGGGATATTCCTGCTTAGGGCCCCCAATGAGTCAGCACTGCCCCCGAAAAAACATGAATCATATTGTATGATAAAGTTTAAGACAGCACAAAATATATCATACTTGTTTTATAATTTTGAAGTACAACTTGTGAAATTACTTCTTTGTTCAAATGAAAGTGATTTCCTTGAGCTACTCTGCAGGTGGTTTCATTTCAGTATTGGTCCTTATAATATTAATAGTTAATCCTATCAACTGTTTTAGTTACTACAACTATATACAAATGTTTGCATTAAAAAACTTAATATTTTTTTATTTAGTGTGATAAAACAAATTTTACAAATTGTACATGTAATTTATAATCTATCAAAAATTTTATTTTATTAATTCTAGTTACATAAATCTATAGATGTATGAACATATTAAGTTTTATAAATTACTGTACAATACATGTAAGTAAAGAAACACTTACCATGATGGCAAAAGACTTTGGTTTTGATTTGAAGCTATGATACTCCAGCCAACTTAAAATAACCTCTACCAATGACACTGTACAAGATGCTGTGGCACTTTGATACTTTTTAGGAAATGGTAACATAACATATATACATAGTATTATATAGAATGTTGATCGTACTTGATGGAAAATTTTAGTTGGTTGATCCCACATGGTAACTAAGTCATTGACACTGCAGCCATATTCACTACACATCATTATGAGCACAGTAAACCAGGACACTATCAGTCTTACTCGACTGGTCTGAAATAATGATTCTTTATAAGCTAGAATGAAAAGAATAAGGTGGGTAACCAGTCCAACAAGTCGAAGAGAAACTTCAAGAATGATATCACTTGGTTCCTGTTAAAAATTATAAAAAAAATAAAAATAAAATTTTTTCCTAAATGTATATACAACTACTAAATACCAGTATTTCTTTAAAAAACACGAAACATAAAACATGCAAGAGTAAAGATTTTAACTGTTGAAGGTCAAAGTCAAGTCATGATAAAAGTCTTTACACCTACAATCTTTTTTATAAAATATGATTACAAGTTGCTCTCAGAATTTGTTCTTTCTGACCTTTATCTCTAACTAACCAAAAGAAAAGTCAAACTGAGAATCACACCTTTTACTGATACACAAGTTTGGAGACTAATAGGTAACATAATAAACAAGACCTAACTTCTGTGTTATATTACTGATATCCGTGTGCAGAGATAAAAACTAATATAATAGTGTTCAGTTTTCTTTTGCATTAACATCATTCAAACAATTAATACTTGAATAATGAATAAACCATGATACTCTTAGAAGACTTAAATATTATCCTTAACATTAAGTGTGATTACATATTGTTCTGAAAACTAACATTAGATAAAGTGAATCACATGTTTTGTTTATTCTGAATCTTATTCAGGCCCATACCCAGAATGTTTGAAAGGAGGGGTTCTCAAAGTAGAATCAGCATATAAAGAATGCTAATGCTATGGGTCAGGGGACATGCCCCCCCCCAAAGAAAACTGTACAAAAATATGTGCTAGAGATTAATCTGGAAGCAACTTTACAAGAAATATAGCTTAAACAATTGCATGACTGATCACATAAAATCCACAAACATCCAATGAAAAGGCTACAAATCATCATTCTGTGTTGTAACACTGCATGGGGAGCTAATCTTAAATTAGCATAAATATATATGTTTTATTACAGTAAAGTACTGTACTATCTACATGCACAATAGTTATTAATTGTTAAATTATATTACTAATTTCAACAACTCTGTACAACAGTAGTATATTAGCTTTTTCAATCAATGGCTATCATATATGTACATGTATGCACAACTGAAATAATATGTTAGCATTCTCCAATCTTCTGGGTTGCCTTTCCATAAATAACTTACATACAGTTTGAATGTTGACAGCAGTTTCATAATGATTATTTATTAAAGCTAAAGCACTCAAGTCTTTCTTCAGGGTCTCTACATCTCATGTAATTATTCAACCAGCAGAGAGCAGTTGACGAATTTCAGTAACATAAAGATATTTGGTACACTAAAGCATGCTTCTAAGCAGTCAGCCAGTACCTAGGGCCTGTGCTGGAGAGGTAAGGAAAGCGATATTGTCTTGCTTCGTTAGAAGAATGTAGACTAGTAGAAAACATCATATAACATAAGTAGCTGTGCTATAACTATACAAGCATAATTTTTTGACATTACAATAATAGGGGGTTCAGCCAAACACCCTCGAACCCCCACTGCATATGTGCGTGTTCTTACTTTTTCTTACATTTAAAAAACTTGTATTGCATAAACTTTGTATGTATTGTGGTATGGATGGATATACATGCAACTATGTTTAAAAGACAGTGTTGTTGTAATAACAACTAATCATTATCCTCTCATATATATTAAATTTTCTTTATAACAATCGATCAGAACACTGCTTGGGTCCTCTTTTAGCACAACATGTACTGCAGGTCCTGCACCATTCTTCTACACTTGCCTCATACCTATCCAGTAAAATTTCTGTCGTAGGTGACTCAATGTCTTCTTAACTCCAAGATGTCCTCGTGTTAAACAATCATGGGATTGACGCAGCACAACTTCCCGCAACTTTCTCGGTATAACTGTTTGCAAGATCGTCACTTTCCCATCTCCGGACAAGACTACCATCTTCAAGCTTAAACTGGTCCCATTGTGTCCAATAGTTCTTTGTCACAGGGCTTCAGTTAGACATCTTCTCCCATGCAGGGTGCAAAACACTTGCTTGTAGGAAATCAATTATTGGCTTCAAATCTTGGTCTTTTTCCTGTTCTGCTTTAATATCGATACTTGGTTCCACTTCGCCATCACCAACTCCTTCAGTCACTTTGACTTCAGCTTGATAGCACCTGGTTAGTTCAACCTCTCTTTTGCAGCAATGTCTGCAGTCATTTTTGCAGGGTCTTCGGCATTTCCATGTGATTTCCCTTCTCTGTATCCAATATCATAATTATACTGGTCCATCTTTCCGCTCCAATGCACCAGTTGTCCCCCTGGCTTCTTTAATGATCTTAACCAGCATAATTCAGCATGGTCTGTCCTGATAGTAAACCTGGCGCCATAGAGGTAAGGATGGAAATATGTCAGAATCTTTACTATAACAAGGAGTTCCCTCCATGTTACACAGTAGTTTCTCTGGTCTACTCAGGACCCTACTGAAGTGGACCACCACATGTTTGTTTTCGCACACTTTCTGAGACAACACTCCTCCAATTTCGACCTTACTAGCATCACAATCCAGTATTTATGGCAGTGAGGGATTTGGAAGCTTTAAAAGTGGAGCTTAGGCCAATTTTTCTGGCAAGAAACTGTCCATTCGAACTTCTGGCCTTTTTTTTGTCAAATCATGTAGTGGAGCAGCTATAGTTCCGGTAATAGGTACAGAGTCCCAAGAAACTTCTTAACTCTCCCACATTGCCTGGTGTTGGCCAGTCACACACTGCTTTCACCTTGTCAGGATCAGTTTGCACACCATGATCACTTACAGTGTGACCCAAGTAAAGCACTTATTTCTAGAACAAGTGGCATTTCTTGGGATGGAGTTTGAAGTTTGCTGGTTTCAAATGCTTGAATACTTCCTCTAGCTGGAACATTTCCTCATGAAACGTTTCTGCAAACACAATGACTTCATCCAGGCACACTAGGGATATCCTCCATTGTAGGCCTTCCAGTACTCTTTCCATCAGCTTCTCAATTGTTGCTGGAGCATTGCTAAGCCCGAATGGTATCACACAGTATTGCC